AATGGGTAGTAAGAAATCTAAAATCAGTCTCTAACAGAGTTATATGAGTGACCCATTTTAGGTTGCCTTAGGCTGTCTCCAACAGGAGACCCATTGTGGAACCCAAACTCAAAATGGGTCTCTAACATAATACATATAGCCTTCAACAGAATACCTATATGGAAGACCCATTTTAGGTGCCAGGAGAGACATAACCCAAATCTGAGTATCATCTCTCCTGGAGACCCATTTGCAGAAAGGGTTGTCTTTTGGGTCTTGTTACTGGAGAAGACTAAAAATATGTATTGAACCATTTGCTTGTAGCGCTATCCAAAAGACGAATGAGTCTTATATTTTGGGTCGCGGTTATTGGAGACGGTCTAAGAGGCACAACTCAAATATGAGCATCCTCTCTCCTGAAAACATATTTGCAGAAAGGATTCTCTTTTGGGTCCTGTCGTTGGAGAAGATGCCGAATGAGTATTAAACTTTTTGCCCGTAGCGCTATCCAAAGGTCGAATGGATCTTATATTTACTTTTTGCCCGTAGCGCTATCCAAAGGTCGAATGGATCTTGCATTTTAGGTGTTGTTATTGGGGATAGTCCTAGGAATGCAGTTCGCAATGGTGAACTGTGAACATATTGCCCATCCTAGACGTATCGTGCAAAAGATTAATGTCCTGTTTGGGCTCAGCCTTGGATGGAGAAGCCATAATAGACGCAACGTGAAAAACATACTGTTCGGTTGGCTGGTTCGTTTCATAGCTGGTTTGTGAAGAAGTACTGCTGACTGGTTTGTGTGAGAGAAAAATATTGTTCCGACTAAAAATTTACGATCGTTTACGACGAGCACCAGCCAAACGATCAGGCTGATAAGCTGCTGGTATCAGCCGCCACTGCTAGTTCAAGTGTTCGACGCTACAGTAAAATGTGAGGAGGCAGACAGCCAAGCTGCTGCTGGAACAGCCTGCTGGCAAACAGACCATCTCCCTTTTGGGCTCACACTACCACAATGCTCAAAACCATTGCCAATATATATACCTTTGAAAGTAGCCTACAAAAAGGAATTGCATTATTTTCTTTTCCCAAAAACAAGATCATTGCATGAGCACCAAATTGCTCACATAAGAGTTGCAACCCCCATAAAAACCAGTCTTCTCTCATCCCTACCTACACGGCTGACAAGCACGAGGCATGTACGTAGGGTACGAATACATAGGACTTGTGACCGTGGTAAATGTGCTATTGTAACATCACAATCCACTGCTCAGATCTGTAGAGGGATATAGAGGTCATGATGATAACATCCTCGGGGTTAGCCACTCATGGCGAGCTAGTTCAGAGCTGCCACTCCGGCTAATGATGAACGACACAGCCTTTTTGTGCTCATGCATGCATCGGGGGAAAACGGAAAAGGCTGTTGAGCTTGAATCATCCAGATCTTGAATATGCGCCCGTTTGCGTACAGTACTACCTGTTTAGTAGGAGTAGTATCTTTCTTTACGCAAAAACTTTGAAAGATTAATTTTTTTCAGATCCACGTCCACTTGCCAGGTTAGGTTATAGCCGTACCACAACGTGCATGGTTGCATTGCTTTGCACAGCCCGTGAACTTGCATTGGAGGAGCAGAGACGAAACGACGACGACGACAGCATCTCCTTCAATGCATTGATGGGCGTTTGGTCCATGGATCGCGAGAGCTAGCCGCCGAGCGCGTACAGTACAGATAATGGATCGACACGGGCGCACACCACACACCACGGCGCGTGCTGGCAGACAGGCACAGGCTCCCCTCGCGAGCTGCGCGCCCCGGCAAGCAACGTGGCCGCGACCACCGTACCAGCCGAGAAAAGCTGCCGGCCGGCCGTTGCCGTGCCCGTGCATGATGCGTGGCAATTTTGCCACTGGCAGGCAGCGCACGAAGAGAGAGAGCTAGCCTCCTGGTCCTCTCGACCTGCATTGCATTGCATGCGCTGCGAGGCTGGACATCGTCCGTGAGACCGCGACTCGCCTGCGATCAAGCGTGACCGCACGCAGGCAGCCAGGCAGGACAGGTTAGCACTACATCTCAAGGCGCCACGAGTGAAGCAGCTAATGGGCCGCGGGCCGGAACTCGAGCAAGGAAGCCCAACATACGTTTAGCCGGCCACGAGTGGGCCTAGGGTGCCTGCGTGCACGAGCGAGGCGAACGCCTGTGTAACGAGTACAAGATTGAGAGAGAAGGCGAGTGGGATTCATTGAGAAAGCTGTAAACTAAACTCCTGAACTCGCCTAAGAACTCGTCTTTCCCCCGATCCCCTTCCTCTGCCTTTGCTTTGCTGTTCGTCTAAACCTGCCTAGATTTCTCCCTTTCCCTGCCTATTGCTAACAGGACACAGCGCTCCGCTGAGAGATACTCGTAGCGGACCGAGTAGTAGATGCCATTGCCATGCATATTCATGCGTCATGCGTGCTTGCTGGGACCTTTGCATTGCAATTTGCATCGCCAGTCAGACTGTGCCACTCTGATATGAAGCTTGTTAGCAGAGACTGCCGCCTTTCATCACTTGCGTACATGCTCGCACAACGTGTCCCGCCACCTTATTCTCTTGCATGTGGGCCCTGCACAGATGCCCTTTTTGCATTGCATGGCACCAAAATTCCTTGGATCTGCCTGCCTGCAGGCTCGGCAGGCCATGCACACTGTTCCTGTGTCCATTGCATTTTACTGCGGTTGGCGCTGGAAGATGGGTACAGTACGAGTGCCCATGCATGCAACGCAAGCTAAAAAAAAAGGAAACAGCGAGGCATTGAGAGATGTTGGGCATGGCCGCATGGGTAGCCTGGCCTGGCAGACGAATGTCTGTTTTTCCAGCGAAGAAAACATTGTTGCTGGTACAGTGGTACTCCCCAACATAAAAGATGCAAATAGATAAATGGTGCTTCTTCTTCTTTTTTTTTTTTAAAAAAAAGGAAATATCTTATTGAAGGTATCCTGCGCAACTTCTCGGGTTGCATGCATCCTTATCCATGGATCTCTGAAGGAGATGCTATTTCTTCAGAGGATAAGACGTACGGATTCTTAAGAAGCCGCTGCTCAGTCGATTAACTTATTCCTACTCCTACTTTGATTGTTTTCATACAAGTGATCGACTAGTAAGTGAGTAGTCCCACATCATCTCTAGACTAATGCTCGATTTATCTTTTACTTTTCCGTTCCAAAATATAGGTCATTTAAGTCAAACTTCTTCAGCTTTGAATATATTAGCATCTATAATACCACATAAATGCACCCTTGAGGCATACTCGCTCTCCATTCCAAATAAGATGTTTTGATTTTTTTTAGATACATAGTTTTTGTTACGCACGTAGATATACACTATGTCTGGATACATAGTAAAAGTAATATATGTAAAAAAAAAAAGTCAAAATATTTTATAATTTAAAACGGAAGGAGTATTTCATAATGGATTTACTGAAATTAATTTGATGTTGTAGATGGTGATCTTTGTATATAAATTTGGTTAAAATTAGAGACATTTGTGACTTGGGACATAACAAAACAATCTACATTTTGAAACGCATATATGTAGATTCGAAGTATAACATTAATGCCCATAACCTGTGTTGATTTGGTTGCAGTGTGTAACTGCAAGCGTAATGCATTTGAAATAGGCTGCATAGTTACTGCCTCAGTTATGAGAGCTAGTTTGGGTGTTTATAAGAAATGTGGTTATTAGGAGTCTAATCACATGTGCAAAGAGTAAAATATACTCTCTTCATTCCAAATTATAAAACGTTTTGGCTTTTCTAATTAAATAGTTTTTACTATAACACTTAGATACACGTTATGTCTAGATACATAACTAATAAAAACATCATTTGACCACTGAACGTAGGCTAACCACATCTGAAGACTTATGGTTCAGTTTGTTTTGAAATACCAAAATGGAATAACCTGACCACCTAGCAGAGTACCTTCCTTTGTTTTCTTCTGTTAGTGTAAGACATTAACCATCTGAACATTTCCCCTTGATGATGATGAAAGGGCATATATATTTATACAGCAGGTTTTAGAGGCTAATATATACCATAACTTCATTTCAGATTATTCTACGTTAGTTAAATATTGGTTCAGAACTTCAGATTATAGAAAAACACTAGGGTACGTCGATCGAGTAGTTCTAACCCAAAGCAGGCTCAAATGTGTTGAAGACCTAATAGCGCCAGCTCCTGGTAGCTCTGAAGCAATATAGCATCAACGAACGCAACTAACTTCCCGTCTTTGCTTGTGCTTGCAAAACGAACGAAACAGCGATCCAGAGGGTCCGATCCTGTATTCCAGTCCACGCGGCATCAATCCATCATCATGGACAAGCTTGAGACAGGACGCCGCCTCCATCTCACTGACAGCTCAACTCAGATCCCTCGCATCATTGTACACAGAACTCCCAACCCTAACTACATCAGCAGCAGCTAGCTCAGCTAGCCAGACAAATCCAGCGAGCATCCTGAACGCCCGACGCCGTGCCGCCCAGTGGTCCTTGTTAATTGCCTCCAGGGCTTAGCTCCAGGCTAATTACAAAATCCATCCTGCATATCCGCCAGTAGCTGCAGCACTGCATCTTCTTGTCCAGAGCTAGTAGGACGCGTTTACCAGGCGGTAAGATCAGCTTAATTAGCGCCAGCTAATCATGTAATAATCCTCGATGCGACAGCTTTAATCCAGCTGATCAGTCATCTCATCAGATGGTATCTATCACCCGACATAAACTTAGTTCTGAAGACTCATAGTAGTGCTATGAACTGGCGCAGTAACTAAAATAAGTAAATATTAATTGTTTGATTAGTACGTGCGTAATTAACAGCGTTGTACAGCAGTGCTAATGGAGTAGAGTAATTAGCTAGTCAACACTCAACACGGGCATGCCTCGATCTGGCTACCCCAGCTGCTGGTTAGTCCGGCACTCAACTCTTGGCTACCGATCGATCAACGACAAAAAATGCTTGCTTCATCTGAACGAACGGACGTCGGAACTCATCAGAAGTGATCGAACAGCTGCTGCACGTCGGCGGCCTTGTCGCACCGGTGCAGGGCGGCGGGGGGCGGCACCACGGGCGGCGGCGCCGACCGCAGCAGCGCGAAGTTTAGACCCTTGAAGAAGCCGTGCGCCTTCACGTCGGCGGCGCCGCGCTTCGACCCGAGCCGGGTGCGCGGGTCCTTGTCCAGGAGCCGCGCGATCAGGTCGCGCGCCGCGGCGGAGTCCCCGACCCCGTGCGTGCGCGTGGTCGCCGCGGCGGCCGGGAACTCCAGCGGGCGGCGCACGATGTTGCGGAGCGTGGCCTCGTTGCTCTCTCAGACGAATGGGGTGCGCCCGTAGATGAGCTCGTACAGGAACACGCCGTAGGCCCGCCAGTCCACGGCCGCGCCGTTCCCGCCGCCGCGGGCGACCTCGGGCGCCACGTACTCGTGCGTGCCCACGAACGAGCTGGACCGCGCGTCCACGGGCTCCTCCATGAACCGCGGCAGCGGCGCTTCCACCGCCGCAGCCGGAGGAGCTGCAGCTCCGGAATCGGGAGGCAGGTCGGTGCTGCCGGGTCCGGCACGTCCTCCTCCCCCTTGTCGCCGACGTTCCTCGCGTCCTCAAGAGCCGGCGACGCCGTGGACTCCAGCGACAGGTCGACGTCGGTGAGCATGATGTGTTAGGACTGACCTCATCCAGCCCGGTCCAACGATCGAGGCTGGGCCCTGATCTTGCACCCTGATCGGGGACGCACAAACCAACCCATGGTTGGTGGGTCCCGTCGCGCAGCGTTATAAAAGAAAGGTGGGGCCGGGGCTCAGTACACGATGTTTATCGCCACAACCCCACCGTGGTCCTAACCCTACCGATCGAGGGAACGCTGTCAGCGACGGGAAGCTCCACTTCCGCCGCCGCCAGCGACGATCTCCACAGCGATCTGCACCGCGCCGCGACTCTTTCTTTCTCTGCCAGGACCGAAGGTGTGGGCCTCTCTCTCTCTCCCTCTAACTTTCACACCGTTGAACTACATGATATTTATGTCAAATTAGTGAAGTCAAGCCATCAGATCCGCTCCTAGATGTCCAAGAATTGTAACAAATGCAATGAATCTCATGTACTGAGCCCCGACCTCCACCTTTCTTTTATAACGTTGCGCGACGGGGACCCACCAATCATGGGTTGGTTTGTGCGGATCAGGGCGCAAGATCAGGGCCCAGACTCGGTCGTTGGACCAGGCTGGCTGAGTTCAATCCTAACAATCTCTCCCTTGATCTCACCTTATTTCTTGAATTTTAGACTTAAACTTAACACTTAACTTGGTACCCATTTCGTTATAGATCAGTGTATAGAGTGTGTCTCGTCATGATAGTTACTACTGTCAGATTAACAACTACAATACACCTTTCTATTTTGAAATAGATTTTTAACTTATTCTAGACCCTTAGTATCCAGAAATCATAGGCTTTCCCATAAACCCATGTCGACTGTGTGTTTTCTAAACACAATAGGTGGTAAGCCTTTGATAAGCGGATCTGCAAGTACTTGCTCGGTACTTATACACTCAAATGCTTTCAAAATGATTCTAGATTTTCTCCTTTACAACATATAACTTAATGTCAATGTGTTTGACAGCACACTTGACATGTTGTCATAGAACTGAATTACTTTAAATGGTTATTATTGTTGTCTACCATTATTAATTTCGGGTACAAATCCCCTTAACCACTTTTGCCTGTCCATGAAGCCTCTAGACAAGCTATACTATGGGTATGCATCATTGATAATAGCACAACTGTTTTTTTGAAGCTTTTCCACAATAAAACTTCAACTGCGAGTGTTAGTAACTACTGTGGATTTCTCTACACATCACACCGAAGTTTAATATTTGTACCCACAACTATTTGAGAGTACTTGTTCTTTCTAACTCAGCATGAGGCCTTTAATACTTTGCAAAACTACAAGGTATTCTTAATTCCATTCCAGTTATCTATATCTGGACTGGATTTTTTGCTAAAACATCCCGGATACCTAGGGATGAAAACGGATCGGATACGAACGAATATCACTCATATTATATTTGTTTTCATATTTCTGTTCGGATTCGGATTCGGACACGGATAGCGTTCGGATATATATACGAATACGGATTGACTCGGTTACGGATACGAATAATGAGTATCGAATACGGTATGAATCGGATTCGGAGAAGGTCGGATACAAATATCTATTCGGATATTGAGTAAAAGCAGCATATATATATATATATCATACGTGCGCAAACCATTACACCACTCTATGAGTCCATAATCCATCTAGATTAAGCCGAAAGACTAAAGAGTAAAGCAACAAATAAGATAAAGATACAGATACATCATACATCAAACATCATACAAGCACCAATCTTCGCGGCATGAATAGAAATAGCCAAGCTCATGGCTTCATGGGTCTCATGGAGTCATGGTCATGGATTCAAGATCTAAAATCCTTATATAGGCCATTTTTTCTTTTGAGAAAGTTTGAACAAAATATAGTTCAAATTTCACAAGTGTGTGACATAGTTTTAGAAAGTCTATATGAGATTCAAGAATTTGTGACTAGTGTTTGATAAAACTTTCTCAAATGGGAAAATGAGCTATGTAACAATTGTAGATCTTACTGAGATGATCAAACTTGGTATTCAGAGTTTTTTCATCTGAGGTCATTTAGTGTCTCATTTGAGCAAGTTTGACCAAGTCAAATTTGGTCAAATGAAAAAACAACACTTTGACTCTAGTATTATGAACTCTAAATGACTTCAAATTGAAAAGTTTTGAATACCAAGTTTGTTCAACTCATCAAGATCTACAATTCTTGTTTTGGTCAACTTTCCATTTGAGATAGTTTGGATGGTTCAAATTTGTGATTTTTAAATTTCGATGCTTACAAACTAGTTTTCGGAACCCTAGATTGTCTCAAATTGAAAAGTTTTGAATACCAAGTTTGTTCAGCTCATCAAGATCTAAAATCCTTATATAGGCCATTTTTTTATTTGAGAAAGTTTGAACAAAATATAGTTCAAATTTCACAAGTGTGTGACATAGTTTCAGAAAGTTTATATGAGATTTAAGAATTCGTGACTAGTGTTTGATAAAACTTTCTCAAATGGGAAAATGAGCTATGTAACAATTGTATATCTTGCTGAGATGATCAAACTTGGTATTCAGAGTTTTTTCATCTGAGGTCATTTAGTGTCTCATTTGAGCAAGTTTGACCAAGTTAAATTTGGTCAAATGAAAAAACAACACTTTGACTCTAGTATTATGAACTCTAAATGACTTCAAATTGAAAAGTTTTGAATACCAAGTTTGTTCAACTCATAAAGATCTACAATTCTTGTTTTGGTCAACTTTCCATTTGAGATAGTTTGGATGGTTCAAATTTGTGATTTTTAAATTTCAATGCTTACAAACTAGTTTTCGGAACCCTAGATTGTCTCAAATTGAAAAGTTTTGAATACCAAGTTTGTTTAGCTCATCAAGATCTACAATCCTTATATAGGCTATTTTTCATTTGAGAAAGTTTGAACAAAATGTAGTTCAAATTTCACAAGTGTGTGACATAGTTTTAGAAAGTCTATATGAGATTTAAGAATTCGTGACTAGTGTTTGATAAAACTTTCTCAAATGGGAAAATGATCTATGTAACAATTGTATATCTTGCTGAGATGATCAAACTTGGTATTCAGAGTTTTTTCATCTGAGGTCATTTAGTGTCTCATTTGAGCAAGTTTGACCAAGTCAAATTTGGTCAAATGAAAAAACAACACTTTGACTCTAGTATTATGAACTCTAAATGACTTCAAATTGAAAAGTTTTGAATACCAAGTTTGTTCAACTCATCAAGATCTACAATTCTTGTTTTGGTAAACTTTCTATTTGAGATAGTTTGGACGGTTCAAATTTATGATTTTTAAATTTCAATGCTTACAAACTAGTTTTCGGAACCCTAGATTGTCTCAAATTGAAAAGTTTTGAATACCAAGTTTGTTCAGATCATCAAGATCTACAATCCTTATATAGGATATTTTTTAATTTGAGAAAGTTTGAACAAAATGTAGTTCAAATTTCACAAGTGTGTGACATAATTTCAGAAAGTCTATATGAGATTTAAGAATTTGTGACTAGTATTTGATAAAACTTTCTCAAATGGGAAAATGAGCTATGTAACAATTGTATATTTTGCTGATATGATCAAACTTGGTATTCAGAGTTTTTTGATCTGAGGTCATTTAGTGTCTCATTTGAGCAAGTTTGACCAAATCAAATTTGGTCAAATAAAAAAACAACACTTTGACTCTAGTATTATGAACTATAAATGACTTCAAATTGAAAAGTTTTGAATACCAAGTTTGTTCAACTCATCAAGATCTATAATTGTTGTTTTGATCAACTTTCCATTTGAGATAGTTTGGACGGTTAAAATTTATGATTTTTAAATTTCAATGCTTACAAACTAGTTTTCGGAACCCTAGATTGTCTCAAATTGAAAAGTTTTGAATACCAAGTTTGTTCAGATCATCAAGATCTACAATCCTTATATAGGCTATTTTTTCATTTGAGAAAGTTTGAACAAAATGTAGTTCAAATTTCACAAGTGTGTGACATAGTTTCAGAAAGTCTATATGAGATTTAAGAATTTGTGACTAGTGTTTGATAAAACTTTCTCAAATGGGAAAATGAGCTATGTAACAATTGTATATTTTGCTGAGATGATCAAACTTGGTATTCAGAGTTTTTTGATCTGAGGTCATTTAGTGTCTCATTTGAGCAAGTTTGACCAAGTCAAATTTGGTCAAATAAAAAAATAACACTTTGACTCTAGTATTATTAACTCTAAATGACTTCAAATTGAAAAGTTTTGAATACCAAGTTTGTTCAACTCATCAAGATCTACAATTGTTGTTTGGGTCAACTTTCCATTTGAGATATTTTGGATGGTTCAAATTTGTGATTTTTAAATTTTGACGCCTATAAACAAGTTTTCCATTTGAGAAAGTTTGGACGGTTTAAATTTTGAAGCACTAAATGATTTCAAACGAAAAAGTTGTAAACAACAAAGTTTCATAACTTTTTGAGATCTACAATTTTTATTCTGATCATTTCTCCATCCAAGGTCGTTTGAATAATATCCGGATAATATCCGTTTTTAAATATCCGGATATATCCGATACTTATCCGGATTATCCGATATCAGCCGGATATCGATGATATTACATCCGTATTTGATATCCGCCTAAGATATCCGTTTTAGTATCCGTATCCGAAAAAAATTACGGATATCCGAGTAACTATCCAGATAAGTGTTCATATTTGTTCGGTCGAACGGACGGTCGAATAAATATCCGTACCGTTTTCATCCATACGGATACCTGAACTACGTCAGGGTAAGTTCTTACTGGTGCACTCATAAAGCTTCCAACAGCTGAAGCATATGAAACCATGTTCATTTGATCAATCTCATATTGGTTCCTGGAACACTGAAAGTTCCCAAATCTATTACCCTCGACTATAGGAGCAGGCATAGTTTTACTCGCATGCATACTTTATTTCTTTAGAATCTTCTCTATGCATGCCTTTGCGATAGTCCTAATACCCCTTTTTCTTCTATCTCGCTGAATTTCAATTGTTAGAACGA